TAGCAAAAGAAGAAATACGATCCCAAGCGGCTTTGCGAGCTAAACCTCGACTAGTTTTCTGAATTGCTAAATCGATTACAAGATTGCAGTTAGAATTAGGACAACTGAAAATGTCAACAGATGTTGTTCGCGGGGGTGGGGTCACGTTATATAGAGGGGAGGTCATGCAAAATTATTATCCTATATTACTTGTATATTCAATACAACATATTTCCTATGAATCTAAAGAGTGAGGTTCGTGTCAATAAGACATGGTCAAGGGGGAAGGGGGGGAGGGGGGGGGGAGGGTCACTTGAAAAAAATGTATCCAACTAGGGGGGCATGGATTTTTTTCGAGAAAGTTTCAGAAACCACCAAAATAGAATAGTACGTAGATGCTGAATTCAGTTGTTCAAATCTATGGTTTCTACGATAAGCCAAGATATCCCTCTTCAAAAAAACCCTTCCTATCGTTTTTCTTCTCTAGATATCTCAAGATATCTTGTATGTAATCCGGCAACAGCAGCCTCCTTTGCTTCGAATGAACACGGTTTACGACTATGTCAGCAGAGTTARTCTGATATCAGTCATTGAGTATTCCTGCCTTATAATACCTTGCTGTCGGTATCTTATCCACATCACTGATGTTAAATTCTCTCTACCCTRTGGTGCTTTCGCTAAATGCCATGGTATATTCCATGAATCTTCACTTCGCTTTAATCAATAGTGCAACCGTCATACAATTGTAATATCATTTGCACCGCGGACGATCAGGGCTCAAGAAAGGTTAGCACACTGATTTAGGGATTTCGAAAGTGAGGGTCRTCGCCCGCAGCTGCTATAGAAACCAGTTGTACACTACTGTTAAAACAAAGATTGTGACTTTGATGAAATAACAAAGAGAGACAGGCAATACAAAAAACGAAGATGTCCATTTGAAAAATAGCCATTGTCTGACATAATCCTACAATTTTTGTTGTCTCGACCAATCACAAGCTTCATTGTGACGGTGTGGTGGACCCATAGAAACAGCATGCTTCTATAGGTTCATAGTTCCTATACATAACGTGCTTCACGCCTTTGGACTTTCTCTGATTCGTCAATAAGATTTTCATAGTATAATCCCAGGCTTGGCTTGCATATTCACCAGACCATTGGACAGATGGACATGCTGTTTGCCTTCATTTTTTATTGCAACCTGAAGTCATGATGCAGTTTATCTATCATTGCTCACCATCMCATTCCTGATAAGAGCTCAGTCTCGTTTGCACTGATCGAAGTCACTTAATTGCAAAGTATCTTTACATCTCGGATTAAGGGGTTCAGATCTTTCTTGAAGCCAACCTTAATAGTTTTCGCAGATCTTGCTGTGAGATAGAAACAGGTTTTTAAGGAGATATGTTTTTTGGGGGGATTGTTCTAGATCTTAAAACCCACGTGCATTAATTCGAGAACTTGATGTGATTTTCTCATGGACGAAGGCAATCGCCATCTTTGGTTTTGAACCAATCAGAAAGCAATCTCAACAATATCCTTTTAAACAGAACAAAAGCTCACAAGGACTCTCGGATGGAAGTGGCCCTTTAAACCTTTTACTTCTGAAAATACTCAACACAAGTACCAAACTGGTCTCGTTTTCTCTGGCTATGAAAAAACTCAGTCAATTTTCATTCGCAGTTTTCATCAAGGATTGACGAGTCTTGAGAATGTCTGTTGTTCGGATTTTTCTTTGTTTTTCTTCTTTGTCACTGGTCTTGAAAACTTGWCTAAGAGTTTTTCTAATGGCTCATTTTCATAAAGATGGAGGAAAAAGAAGACTGGAATGGAGGATTCTAATTTGTTGTTCTGGTTCTACGCGCCTGTTTTTARGATTCTATCGCCGCCTTCTTCTCCGTTCGATTACAATTGCGCACGGTGACCTATGTTTCCTTCTGCGTCTTTGTTTCGTTTCCTTCGCTTTTCTGCAGCCTGCGGGCCCACAAGTCACATACCGTTTTCTGCAGAGGAAATTAGCTGTATSTTAYACTTCGGATCATTTTACAACATTGCAGTTCCTTTCGATTGACTCACCCTCAGTAGGAGTCTGAGCATTTGTAATTTCTCTGTCAATGAGTTAGGGTAATCACTTTGCATTGACTTTGGTAAGGCAGTGAGGAAGTGAGAAAGTTAGAGGTCCAGTCGGAGTTATTTAGTGATCAGAAAATATTAATTTTTAAATTCATTTTGTAATCAAGAATGTATTTAGAAAGAATTATTTGTTGATTTGTTTTTGACTTTCAAAGCTCAGAAATCACTTTGGTTGATCACAACAAGTGGTGAGAAGTTATTTTGAACTTTGACAGCAGTAGACCGTACGATAGACTATTCATCAATGACAATGTGTCAGTTGAGCCAGCCCCATTGTGCAAATGCGTCAGGTATAGTAGCCAAATAAATAGACCCTTAGCCCTCAGAAGTGTAGAAAGTCAAAGGCATCAGATTTTGATCATTTCAGTCTCGATTGRAACTGWGCRCAATCACTGAAAAGGTTCGTACCTAGTCATACATGCTATGGCAACTATGTTTCTTATTTCTTAAACATGATCATCAGTGATATTTGATTGATATAAACATCAAAATAAAACGCCAGCTTTTGACAGAAAACTGATAATAAATACTAGGAATTGGTTTTTGAATTGCATGTTCGTTCTGTCGATCTGGTCAGGCAGTCGGTAAAATGGAAACMTCTCTCTTTGTGATATCTACATCATATAGGCAATATACATTGRCTTCTTGATCTCGGGAAAAATTGAAACCGACCGAAGATAAAATAGAGGAAGCGACACCGAAAGCAAACTTTTTAGATGTAAACATTTTAGCTCTAGTTGTTCATCSTGATAATTGCAAGATTTGATCAAAACACTTTTCTCGGAGCTTCATCAATTAATAATTTGATCAAAAGCTCRGTTTTGAAAGTATATGATATCTAAGAAAAGATCAGTTTACAGAATACTCACATCACTGAAAAAGCAATTAGTGGTAAATTCGAACAAATTCATAAAGCTAAAAATAGTAATGTACAAAAAAAACTGAAAAAAACTTAACTGAACAACATATAAATAATGAACACATATATACAAGAAAGTACGGTAAATTAATTAACAAACAAAGAAGACATGGTGATCGATGCAATGTTAATTCATGTTATATTCATAGTAAATTGATATCCAATAAGCTACGGTCAGCCCCTGGWGTTTGTGATATGAAATCACTTTTCCCCAACCATCCACCCGAGGCATGACGGTACCTTTTTAGACTAATTTTATTGAAAAGAGACATCATAATTGAGCCATAACCCGACAGCACATAAAAAAGATGATGCTTTCTATGTGATTTGCTAAAACAGATGTACTCTCTATCATTTTTAGGTGTGAGTTCAGAAAAGGAGTAATTAATAATGTCTATGGAATCATCAAACACCAGCTCAAATATGGCTTCCAAYCAAAATGGTAAGCGATCGTTGTTCAAATGTGTAAAATTTAGCCGAGCAAACAAAATCAATATATTTGAGCTCAATAAAATTTYATACATCAGCTATTACATTTATGACTGTAAAAGGTATAGCAGTTCTCTTTACTATGGCTTGCAATTCGCGGTTCAACTTTCAACTAATTGTTTCAGTGTTTGATAYAAATGACGACACACAATGTTTATATTTACAAATTTCATTTACCAAATTTCTGTGTAAAGTTTTTTCGTTTTCAAAGTTCTTTTCAGCAAATTTCCTATCATTTTTTCATTCATACCAAGGTAATTTTGTTGTTTGTTGTTTTACTATTCTATTGTGCCTTAATATCGTCTGTATTACATGATGGACATAGATAATATCCAAGAAACCAATCGAGTTCTAGGTCATTCAAGATAGCGCTCAAAACTTCACAGATTGTTGCGAGCTTTGGTTTACGATTACAAAATAGAGTGCCATCACTTAATCACTTTTCGATTTTCATTATATTCATAATTTTAGCAAAACAAAGCTGTAATGGCTAGTTTGTCAACATTGTAGCAAAATAATACGAAACCCGTTAGACTCTGCTTAATATTGAAATTTATCACCTGCTACAAAATACAGCTTGTCTCTGCAGACTACTTTAAAGAAATGTGACTCTCGTTTTCAATCATTCATCTTTCTGTTGCTTAGCCCCTGCTGCCCCAAAAAAGTTTCTACAAGCCTCATGCAAATCACGAATTTTTCTGACAGTGCTTAATATTTTTTCCTTGCCAATCCATCATCAATAATCAAGTATTAATGCCCTCCCCCAGTAGACCAGAGGCAAAGACTGGTCAACGTATAATTGATATGCTTGAAAATGTTGTTGTTCATTTATCTAAAGTCCACTTAAATCGGAGTGCACAGCTTTTAACTAATTTCTCTGGGCGACTAATTTCCTTCTGAAAGATAATAGCTTTGTCTGTTAATAGTGTTGTTGGGCGCGCTGTTGCTGTTTTTTTTTTTTTTAAACAATTGTCAAAATTGCCATACTTTTCTTGGCTCTTGCAAGACTACCCTCATTATGAGCTCTCGTGTTTCAACGAGTTCGATGTCTCAAGAAACCAATAAAGTATTTCATTAATTCAAAAGTCAGTATAGCTTATTTCTTTAAAGGATTTAATTACTCAGTCGATTTTGATAATGATGTCAGCTTTACAATCTATMAATACATTATAAACGACTAGAGCGAAAAGAATTATGGATGGAATTCTTTTGAACTATGGAATGTGCTCAAAATAACGTATAAATTATTGACAAGTCGTGATCAATAGCGACTTTTGTTTTTCTTAATAGGACCCTTTAGCAAAACCAGAACACAATTGTGAGTTTTCATCAATCTTCATTTTTTATGCTAACATTAATGTTGACTTTACCCATAGTGCTTTTCGTCCTAGTAACCGTGTGTGGGACAGGGTTTTTGTTATGAGTGGGTGCGTTTCTTTTATTAAAACAGAGAGTTTTCCAATTGACTATAACTCATTAAATTTGTCGTGTCGCGAAAGAACTCTCTACTGGTTTTTATTGATAAGGATCTCCTCTACTCCTGTTCCTACTGAGCTGACATATAATCTAAAAAAGATAATTTATGTGCTTTTCTTGAACTTTCCATCAGCTGTTAAGCAACAGCTYCCTCACTGTGTCTCATAAGTGTGCATTCTTTTAAAGAACATGTCATTTTCCTTTCCTAAAAAACACTCTTCCTGACAAGTGGATAAATAAAGCTTTATAACTGACAAGCGCTTGTGAATGGCTGGTTTGAAACGAAATTTTTAAGAAATTATGAGCGGACTTTTAGCTGACGAACGATTGAAACATTACGGGAATTAAACAATGTTTCGCTGGCAAAATGATAGCGAATTCTTCAAAACGATGATTATCGTAACAATTGAACTTTGAAATCTGGATAAATCATTCAAAGAATTGATTCACCAAATGCATGTTGTAACGGCAAGACATAGGAGACGCGAGTCAGTTCTTTAGAAAGGAATCAGAAWTAATTAAAGAACAAACATATCTCAACAGTGGTAGAGATTATCTAGCCATAAGAATGAATGAAATCACTGAAAGGAGAAGAGGATCGTCCAGATGGTTCAGGTGTTCGATTCTCTCATGTCAAAATGAATTGACGAGTTCAGCCTTAGGGCTAACCAATATTGAAGTCTTTTCATATGAAGTTTTAAGAAACACCGGCGTTTTGTTTCGTYCGCACAATAATGAGGGTTTTTTGATAATTGCCAGGTTGTAGCTACTTGTCTCGCGWCGTCTCTTCCTGTCGTAGCATGAAATTTTGAAAGGTTCATTGTGGATTTTTATTGTTGTTTTTTCCATTTCGATAATGAATCATTTATTCCCTCTACTGTTTCGAACTTTGGCTGAAAACAAAATGCTTTTGATTTTTTTTTGAGTAATAAGGCTCGGCGCCCTTCGAATGTAGAACTACATGACTACACTCTCAGGCAATTCAGTGCTTTAATTTGAATAAAAAAAAACATGCCAGTAGACATTTTGAGTAAAAATGAAAAGACATAAGAAAAATAGCCGTTCATCGGGAAAGTAGTGTACGGGGCTGAATTTACACTGTCCCTCCTTCCWCGTCCCCCTTCACTTTCTAATCAAACCCTGCCTTGACTCATGCAAAGAAGATGTGATTACTTGCAAGATGACGCTAGTACCTTTCAMTGCATCATCAATGAAATCCGAATCTTTCAGTACGTTTTCAACAATGCCTTTTAACTTTTAGAGTGGCCTGAAGACTCATGTTCTTCAGTGCCTTGTAATCGGCTTAGACTAATTGTTTTCTACCCTGTGTTCTTTCATCAAAATGATTATTTCATTCTTTGTATGAATTTTTACACTTTTTTTTTGTTTTTCAATTTCATGAATAAAAAAAGTGAGCGGAGAATTAAGTTTTCTTGGAACTCTTGAATGGTGTAATGTSTTTAAAATATCCAATAGATAATCATTGGTCTTCTTTATTAATTTTGTTTAATGTACGTTGCATGAAGATGTCAATCTTTAATTTTTTAAAAAAAAGCTCTATGGTCCTACTGGACGAGTATTGTCATAAACTCTTCGACTGGAAAAAAAAAAAGCAGTGCATGCACCCTAGCATTATATTTATTTTAATTTTATATTTATTTTTCAAAAAAAAAAAACATTAATAGTGGTAGTAGTCTAGGTGTCTTGCAATTAATAATCGATCCTAAAGGCGGGTTTTCATTTTAGCAAAGAGTCTATTGATTGTCATAAAAATCTAATTTTTGTTTTGACAGCTCAAAATTTCAGCGAAAAACAAAAAAATAAAATAAAATAAAAAAGACAGACAGACAAACAAAACAAGTTATTTGCCGGCGGCTTTWCGTCTGTCAGTTTCTATAAGTTCTTTACCGGGACGGAGTTCCATAGTGAAAAACTGTCCTAAGAATTGATGTATRGCACCATGCAATCACCCACGGTGCGTTCKTAAGCCCGGCGAGGGACCGGCGAGGATATTTCGTTTTCGCTGTCTTTTGCTCTTGTCATTTGCTCTTTTTCGCAAACATTTTATTCATTCAGGATTCAGCKGACCAAGGAGATCGTTGAAAACCGGACCGCGCATTAGTCAATCATATCGAGCATTTCCTAGAAATCTGGACCTCTCCCAAAAATATGAAACTCTTTTTCAGACGGATGGTACATGAAGACCTCGGGGACTTTTTCACTGTAGGGACATCCATGTTGGCAATTAGATTTATTATATGATAATATATATATGAGAGGGAACATCACAAAAGGGGTMTTGTGTCTAGCTGGAAAATCCAGTCTTCCAAAAGACGCAATTAATTCACTCGCTGCATCAAAAGGGTCTTAATTCTTTAGCCTCCT